CTGCATGACTCTTCTGTATAACTTCTTGGATTAAACAAAGGACAGAAATATAGATTAGAAGGGATGTTAACTATCTATTATTTTAGTAGTCGAGTAGTCGATGGAATTTACATCGACTACTTGACTAGTTGATAGGCACTTCCGCATTTCTCCTTTGAAATGTACAAGAGTCCCAAGCGGGGGCTCTTGTGCATTTCAAAGTGGCAGCGCAGCATGGACCCTGGGGTCAGCAGGGGACTCAGTGCCCCAATGGCCCGTGGCTCCATGCCGCACTGCCGATTTGAAATGCCACGCGGAACCGGGATCAGCTGGGGATTCCCCAGCTGATCCTGGGCTTCATGCATGGCAGCGCTGCACAGCTAATCCCGGGCAGTGTTTCAAAGGGACAGCACAGCATGGAGCCTGGAGTCAGCAGGGGACTCAGAGTCCCCCACTGACCCTGGGCTCCATGCCGCACTGCCGATCCTGGGCAGTGTTTCAAAGGGACAGCGCTGCACAGCTGAGCCGGGAATTAGCTGTGCGGCACTGCCCCTTGGAACACCGCCTCAGCATTTCAAAGGGGCAGTTGCACAGCTGATCCCCTGCTCAGCTGTGCAGTGCTGCCCCTTTGAAGTACACCCTCTCTTCCCCTCCCTCTTTGCTGCCTCTATCTGATAGAGGCAGCAAAGGCGGGGGAGGGGGGGAGGGAGGAATCGACTAGTCCTTAGCATCCCTACTAGGGAGTGAAATATGCTCTTCTGTATCATTGTCCTGGGATCCTAACTCAAGACATACTTAAACAAAATTCACATTGGAAGGAATAGGAGTTTTGACCGAATAAAAGATGGAAAAACTCAGGATTGCCCCTTAGTTCTAAGGCAGCTTTTCACAAATCACTGAATATGACTGAAAGCATCACATTATAAGAGAAGCATCTGAATTTGGCAGCCTTGAATTGTAGAATGACTAGAATAATCTTCACACTTTCATCAGCAGAGTGAAAATTCTTCTGGGGAGCTCTCTGCGGAGTAGCTAGTCTCTGCTGCTCAAATGGCAGAGAGACTGGACTTAGTCCTACTGAATTAATGCTCAAGGCCCCTCCCCATTCTGCTGCCTGCTCTGACATCCCCTTGCTTTGCATAGTGCTGAAAAAATCCTTAACGGTTCCAGGAAGGCAGCTGTAAAGTCACTTGGTGCTGTTCGGCTTGGCCCTGAGGCCTCTCGGTGAACAGCAATGACTTTTATTGTTGCAAGCTAAAATCCTGCTCTGAATATTCCCAAAGAAGCCAGTAGAATAGGGCTGTAATTTAAAAAAGAATAGTTAGCTACTGCATTTTAACTCAGTTATATCCTCAGGAGCCAAAAACCTGAACTGCAGACTCCCTAGAGTTGCCAGATAGTTTCAGAAAAAATACTGGGGGGGGAAGGGACCCTGAGAGTTAAGCCAAAAAAAAAGCCCCCGTTAAGAAATGTGTGGTGAGGCTTTTTGGCCCTAACAGGTTGTCAACGGCAGTCCGCCAACTTCCCCCGTTAAGAAATATGTGGTGAGGCTTTTTGGCCCTAACAGGTTGTCAACGGCAGTCCGCCAACTTGCCTCCCTGCGCTGGGCCGGACAGCTCCCTTGTGGAACCCGGTAAGCACTAGGGTTGCCAGGCTGCCTCCGTATTGAGCTGGACAGCCCAGGATTTTTGCCTCCTGGCTGGGAAAAAATCAGAAAGTACTGGACATTTTAGGTGTCCGGTCCCTCTCTTTTCTCTGCCTAAATGGGTATCCTCACAAGCCTCAGAGACAGAGGGGATGAAAGCAGAGGCTTAGAAGAGATTCTCTGGTAACTGTTCATACTGCACTTTCCTTTGTGGTAGAGTCCTTCTTGTGTCTGTCACTCACTGCGGGAACCATGAAATCTGCAGCCCAAGTTTCTCGGGAATCTGTCAGATTAATGGCCATAGTCCCTTTGCTGGAAATCCTCACTCACACTAGAGCCCGCTAATCATGTATAAGGAATGACTCACATTAAGAAAAACTGAAGGATTTGGCTCATTCTTAATGAAAAACCCTATTCTGCAAAAGCTAACTCATGAAAATGGGGACTTAAAATCATAGAAGTGGAAGGAACCTCGGGAGATCAAGTGCAGCCCTCTGCTCCCATGGCAGGACCAAGCACCATCTAGACCAGGGTTTCCCAATCTATGGGTCGGGACCCAAATATGAGTCACCATTACATTTCAAAAGGGTCACCAAGTGTCTCCCCTCTCCTCCCTCTGTTTTTGAATTGCCTTGGGTCACTAAGTCTTCCTGAATTGTCAAAATGGGTGCCCATCTGGAAAGGCTGGGAACCGCTGATCTAGACCATTCCTAATAGGTGTTTGTCCAACCTGCTTTTAAAAATCTCCAATGATGGAGATTCCAGAACCTCCCTAGGCATTTTATTCTAGGGTTTAACCACCCTGACAGTTAGGAAGTTTTTCCCTAATGTCCAACCTAAACCTCCTTTGCTGCAATTTAAGCCCATTGCTTCTTGTCCTATCAGAGGTTAAGGAGAATATTTTTTTCTCCCTCCTCCTTGTAACAACTTTTTAGGTATTTGAAAACTGTTATTATGTCCCCTCTCAGTCTTCTCTTTTCCAGATTAAACAAACCCAACTCTTTCAATCTTCCTTTATAGATCATGTTTTCTAGACCTTTAATAATTTTTGTTGCTCTTCTCTGGACCGTCTTCAGTGTGTCCACATCTTTCCTGAAATGTGACACCCAGAACTTCTGTAAATAAGCAAGGGTTTATAGTTTCTAGGCATACATATTAGCATCAAAGATGGTTAAAGCTGAACATTTATAAATCTCTGGGTGTTTGTTTATATACTGCTTCTCTTCCTACTCTCTTCCATCCCCCTCAGTGCAGCTGTGCAGGAGTGGGGCTTCTACTTTTGATAGCAAGAGGGAGTGGGGATGAGTGGAGCTCTGCCCCTGCAAGAGGTGGGACTAGGTGCTTAGCTTTCAAAGGCCATCACTGCAAGAGGTATGTTGCACTTTTAGCCCTCTAACCTGTGTAGGTAATTGTAAGCACATGAGTAGTCCCACTGATTTCAGTAGAACTGGTCACATTCTTAAAGGTAAGAACATGGACTGGTATTTACAAGATTAGACCTTAAGATGTAACACATATCTCAATGTCATTCTTTGTCTCCACTTAGAGTGGGGCTAATATTTTCTGGAGAGAAAAGCAGATAGTTACCAACGGTTTGTGATTTCGTGTTGATTTCACTGAATTGTTTGGTCAGCAGGGGAAAGTGGGCGGCTAAAAAAAATTGTCCTATTTCCTCAGCCACATGATTTTGGGTCTTAGAGCTGGACTCTA